GTATCACAAGGGAGAAGGATGTAACACCTCCAAGATAGACCAGTGGTTATGATGAAGGGAAATAATGTTACTCATCCTCCATTATCCTTAAAGAAAATTCTTCAGTTAATGCATTAGCTAATAAAGCCCACTGACATGGGGCTTTATTATATAAAGTTTCACTGACATGGTTGTACATATTTCAATGCAATGCCATGTTTAACATCTACTGTATGAACAGACTGCCTCTAGTTGGGCATATCTTGGTGAGGACACTTTTCTCTGCTTGTGTATCTCCATACTTATATCCATAAGGGTTAAGGCAGACAGAGAGTGTTAGCCACTCCAAAATGGACTAGGAGAGCCCACCAGCCTTTGCAATTCAGTGATTTCTAGGATATACATAGCCTGAAAAACTATGAATATTTTCTATTGTATAATATCCTTTGATTAAATAATGAAATAGTATGCATAGATGAGAACAGAAACTACAAAGCAGTAATTCAAAGTGCCTGTGTATGTATACAGTACATTTATGAGCTGAATAGAAGGATAGATAGTAGAGGTGGGAAGTACTCATTTGTTTCTCTAATGATTCCTCCCACCAATGCCAGACTGTTCCCTAAAGTACCTTCAGATCAGTATTATTATCATTATTCACAAATGCATATGAATTTTCCTCCAGATGGACTACTTGTTAAAATGGGAAACCAGCTAACAGAGATTAATTCTTATCTTTCAGCTCAGCAAGTTTCTGAAGAAAGTGGAGAACTTCTTCGGCAAGCTTTAAAAGAAGAGGAGGAGAAGGCTAAGAAAAGATATGAACTAATTCAACAAATACGAGCTCTTGAGTCTATACCTGGCATCAGACACAAGTTTGTTGACTTAACAGAGGTAAACTCAAAAAGCAGAACTACTGTTTTTACATGTGTAAAACATGTATATGTTTCACACATTAAGAGGAATCGTGTATTGCATGCAGATATATCACAGTCTGGGTGCATTAAGTACAAAGTGACCCCATAACACAAAGGTTAGATTTGAAATGGAACTTTCCCAAAGTTATAAACCAAAAAATTTTATCAAGAGCAATATTCTGATGGTAAGTGAAAACTTAGTTCCCTTGAACCTTCTTTGAATTTTGCCAATACAATCTGGGTTTCCCAATATCTTACAAAACGAAACTAGCAAGTGATTACAAGATGTTCTATTCATATTAACAAATTCAAAGATTTGTCAGTCCTGGGTAAGAACTGAATGAACACAAACGTTGGACTGAGGTATAGCTGTTCATATTGCAGTGGTGATAGCCAGGGTAATTAGCAAAATAAATTTCCTTTGCTTTTAAAACTGTCAACATTCAGGTATATGAAAGAGATGGTCAAGAGAACCCAAAACCTTCTGAGCTGTTACGTATGTACTGTACAAATGACTTGTGTGAGTGTGTTTAAGTCTACAGGAACTGTGTCCCAAACTTCTGTTGATGCACAACAACTGATATGCCTGAGATTGGGCTTTCTAATGCCCAGACTTAGGCAACATCCAGAAATCTGTTAACTTACCACTAAATCAGAACTAGATCAGCTGAAAATACTTTTCCATTTTTCTTATCTACACTGAAAGACGAATAACATAGAATAATGTTAAATGACACTAGCAATTTTAAATCTCAGAATCCTTTTGTTTTGGTGGTTTTTTTCCTTTCTTTCATGAGTACTCAAATGAAGAACACAAAAAACATCCATGGCTAGTCTGCAGAAATCATACAGAAGGAACAGGTCTTCCTTCCATGGGGCTGTGGTGATGCTTTTTCTTTAAATATTTTATGATCACACATATGAGAGATAAACTCTACATTTTAAAAACAGCTTTTAAATACCAGTAACTTTAGGGCCATCCCTATATTTCTGGAAGTCAGAATATATTCGGCATGCATTGGAACACAATCAAAATGCTCTGATTTTACTCATTTACTCTCCCCTTGGTATTTACAGTGTTATTTGAACGTATATTTCGTGTTCTCTAGACTGGTGGCCATGGTTTATTTTGTGAAATGTCAATAGTGGAACTACGTGAACGCCTCGCTCTACTCAAAGAAGCACAGAAGGCAGCAGAGGAAGAGAAGAGAGACCAGATAATTCATGAAAAACAAGCTAAGGAACAACTTATTCTAGAAAAACTGGACCAGATTTCCCAATTCAGAGCAGAACTTGGACGAGCAGCTGCTTTAAAGTCAGTATAAAACAGCATGTGACATTTAAGACATTGCGACTTTGTTAATATTTTGCCAGCCCCTTGAGGAGAAGAACAAGTAGAGAGCAAAATACTGCCCTTTTGTAAATCAGTATGACTTTTGTCGGGGATTACACTGGGGACAGGATTTCCTTTTTATTCTTGAAAATAACTTGCATCAGATTTAACAAATCTTTTTCATCATTTATGGTTGAAGACGCTCCATAGGCTAGTGTTGACAGTATTGCCCCGGGATTCAGAGCCAATAATATATATTTAGAAAGAAGTTTTGCCTTTCTTCTGTTCCTTTTCAGCTAATCAGAACTAATTTGATGTTATTAGAATCATCCTAGCTTGCCACTTAAAGTGGTTTCTTGTTTTCATCTAAACCAATATTAAGGCTGTAGCTTTCTTCCTTGAATATCATCTGTAATGTGAAAAGGCAGGCCTTATTCTAGAAGTTAAAAATACTTTAGGAAGAATATTTTCTGATAGCAATAATAAGTTATAAATTAAATATGGCAGTAGATCAAAGAGGAAATTCTTTGCTTACAGGCTCTCTGATAAAATTCTGCATTTATTATTCATATTTATTATTAATTATTATATTTATTATTCATTGTCATCAAGGATCCATAACTAACATAGATGCCTCACATATGCAGAAGACAGGTCCCTTCCACAAAGGTTTTAAAATCTAAGTTAAAGCTATTTACAAATAAAGCTAAGCCTGTGTAAAAGAATCAAATGTGGCACACATCTTACACCATTTTTACTGCATCTGGAATATTTGCCACTGTTTTCTTGCAAGCTGTCTTTCACCTTTTCCCTTTTGTGGCTTTGAGAGGTTAGTCCTTGTCTTGCTGTATGTATTTTCCAAACTGATTTCAAGCTGACATTCTGAAGACATATTTTATCAGGCTACAAATATAAGTCTTTAGACATGTCTTAGATTCATGTTTATGGCCAAAGGTGGCTTCTTAGAGTTCAGTTCATGTTATTGATTAATCATCCAGTTCTAAATCTCAATTCCAGAAGGCAGTACTGATGTATTCCTTTAACTAGTTTACACTAGTCTCAGCTCTAATTTGTTTTTTTGCTGATAATTAATCTCCAAAGACTTGGGTTTTAGTATGTTAGTACTTAAGAAGATGGTTTAATGAATTTAATGAATCAATAACCGTGGCTGCAGTGGACTGACTGCACAGATCAGTGACCCTCTTTTCTATGGCATATATCAAGGCATGATTTTAAGACTTAAGAACTTGAAATGGAGGAGCTGGAAATACACCCTCACTGCTAAGCATTCAATATTGTGAAACCCTGTGGGAGCAACTCAAGCCACTGCTCTCCAGTAGAGACACAAACTGGACATTAAGAATTTGTGTACTACATGAAACCTGTTTCACTAGTAACTGCTTAAAGAATCATCTGTCCTGCTAGATGTGCAGTCTGTGAATTTTGTATAGCACTGGGTTCCTTTAAACTTTAAACTCTTTGGCTTAATTCAGACCTAAAGCTGTTCTGATCCTGAAATAAGCTATGCTTGAATGAGAAGCTAACTTTGATTCACTTTTTTGTCCTGTCATTTGAAATGTTTTTTAGAATAGAGGAGCCAAAGATAGTAGAATCCAAATGAAGTTAAACACTAAATTTGCAAGCTTCTGGTCAGACTTATGATAAATAATACAGTAATTTTAATGTGCTCTGTTTGCTCTCCAAGTAAAGAAAATATAACATTTCATTATAGATGTTGTAAGACATTTTCCTTTCATGGCTCCCAGGCAATCTATGTATGGAACTTGGAAGACTCTCCTATAAAAAGTACATAAAAAATGTTGTTCTTTAGGAGTGTATTTCATGCATTTTCATCTAGAATCCAAATGTCTGGTGTTATTTCTGTTAATACAGAAATAAGGCATGCTGGCCATAGCATTTACAAATGTTAGACACTTTGATGCAGTTTTTATTTCTCTCTATAGAAATTATAGACTTAGTATATTAAACCTTATTTGCAGATCTTGAATTCTGAAATACCTATCAAATCAGTGTGAGAGATTAATTGTTTTGGTTGTTTTCTTGATACACTGCACAGGAGATGTAAAAAGCAAATTTTTATGTTTACAGAGTTAATTCATTATGGGGATAGAATAGCGAACCTTACCAATGGTCCTCATAATTTAGCCCTATGCATCAATATGAAACTAGGTGTTTATATCTTAAATTGCATTATGTTGAAGGCTACTGCTAATCAGCTAAAGTATGGCAGCTAAACTTTGCTAAAAAAAGTGCTTTAATGTCCGCTGGAGTTTAATCAGGTCCCTATCAAGCAGGTTCCTTTCAATGTCATTAACAAACAGACATACATCAACACAAAAGAAGCACATTGAGCAGGCCTATAGTGAGTTATATTAACAAAACAGGAAATGGAACATGAAAAATTACTGAGACATTGGCCTTTAACAGACTGCAAGCCGTGACACCCATCACAGCAGTGGCTTTGTGAGTGCTTGCAGAACACTTAACAATGAATGCAGTTCATATGCAGGACATCCCTTTAATTGCTAGAATTTCACACAGTTTGAAAATCACCACTGGCATATGAAGTGGATGAACATTTGAGTTCTCAGATTTCAAACTGGAGCACCAGCAGATTTATGTGTGTTTGAAAACATGCTAATTTACCAAGAAAGAGAAAGACAAAGAAGACAAGCAGAAGGGAGGGTTATGGATGAATGGCTGTGATGGTCCTATCCAAGCAGAACAAACTTCCTAAAGCAGGTGTTCCCTGGAGCATCCAGGTCTGACTTAGGGGTTCAAAAGCTTTCTGGATGAGGACTGGAGAATGGAGGCCCATCCTTCAAAACTCATAAGGCACTCTGGCAGCACAACCCTGAGATACAGCACAGAACTGAGGGAAGGGGCAAACAGCACATGGAGGGGGGGAAAAAAATAGTGCTATGCTATGGCTGTATGTGGTTGTTCCTTCAGATCTTCAAAAATATAGCCTAGAATAATGAAAAAAAAGCTGAATAATTAACAATATAAAGGACTTTGGTTTGGTACTTCACAATACTCGTGATTTCATTGATTTCACAAATTTAAGAAATATTTCATAAAAGAGTCCTGTGTATGCTTGCAATAAGGAAGTAAGATTTAGTTTCTCATTTCCTACACTGGTAATGAGTTCTTCACTAGCATTCAAACAGAAGGAGGAGATTTATCAGCAATGATGGATCAGAAATGTAAGATGTGAAGAAAGACTTTTAGAAAAGCAAAGCCAGGCTCTTCTCAGTGGTGACCTTTGAAAGGACAAGAGGAACATCAGGGAACACTTTTTACTGTGAGGGTGACCAAGCACTGGCACAAGTTGTACAGAAAGGTTGTGGAGTCTCCATCCTTGGAGATGTTCAAAAGCCATCTGGACACATTCCTGTGCAACCAGCTCAAGGTGGCTCTGCTTGAGCAGGTTGGACAAAATGACCCCCAGAGGTGCTTTCCAACCTCAGCCATTCTGTGATTCAGTGAATGAACTTTGATTATACACCCTCATAATCTTTATTTCAAATGAGGAAAACACTGTTATGAATAAAAATCACTTCCCCACCTAAAATTAGGTTGATTATTTTGGAAAGGAGTCAGAGTTTGAGTGCTTAAATCCCTCACATTAATACAAAATAGTAATCAGTCTAATAGTGTAGAGTTCTTAAATTTCAAAATAATGACTGCCTTAACAGTGAACTTTTAACAGTTAGATACATTCACTTTACTTACTGCAGTAACTAAGAATTATATGGTGCAGGACAGAAAAAGGCAAGGAGGGAAGTACAGGGAGACTGAGAGTATGAGGAAACAAAAAAAATTATTGCACTATAAGGCAATCCTGGTTTGGGGTTTTTTTAACAAAATGTGTTTATTGCACAAGACTCCATTTTGCAAGGTGAGGTTATAAATACAGTCTCAGCTGCTTAGGTTGATATTCTGGTCCCTATAATGGTAAAGTCATCATTTTTACTCTATCTCCTACAAGTATTGAGTCAGTTAAGAGCTGTCATACATCTATCTCTTTATACTTTTGATGCAAAGGTGGAGTTTGAAAATGTAAATGAAGAGCAAAATGTAGTTTCTAGGAGGAATCATCTGTGCAAATCTTCAAATTCTCCATTTTTTAAACACAGAAGATTTTTCATAAATTATCACGTAATTTTATATTGAATCTGGATAGGACTTTTCTAACTATGTACTAGCCCTTTCTGACTGGCTGTTACCATATTTCCTTCAGAAATATGTGATATGAGGTGACAGAGATCATAAGAGATTTTTCTATCTTGAGTCATGAAAGTTCTCAACTGACCATCACAGAAAAACAGAATTTTAAAATTTCCTTTTTCATTCCTTCCCCTCTTGGAGTTTCCAGTATGATATGGTGTGGCAGCTGAAAATCTATGGGACTGGCAGCTTTTTGGAATAGTGTAGGTGATTGGCACATGACTTCCTGTAGAAGAGGACTAAATATTACTCTGGGGATAAGGAACTATTTACAATGTTAATACAGAAGCAGCTGCTGCTGCTTCATGATGTTAAACCTCTTGCTGTATTTCCTTTAATTGTAGTTACAGGAATCTGGATTTGCACGTAAGGAGAGGTTTTGTTGTTTATACCCATTGACAAGATTTAATCATCAAGTATTTACATAAAACCTTACTGTTATGTTCTCCTATATCCTTTGGAATGCAATGCCTTGATACAGTGCAAGTAGAAATAAACCATGTTCTCAATTAGATTAAGTGATAGTACATAATTTTCAGATTTACAGAATAGTGTTAAAAATTAATCTCGGTGTAGCAGAGTATATCACAGTATTAAGGAGGATAAGGAAATGTTATCCTAACCAGACAGTATGACACAAGAAGCAGAGGGGTTTGGGAAGTGTCTCAGGAAAGCAACTGGAAATGAGAAGCCAAGCTAAACTGTGTCCCTGATTTAGAGTTCAGTCACATTTTAGAATGTAACAGAGGTCATATCTCCCCTTCATCCACTCCCTGAGGATTTTGGGCCCTGTAGTCCAGAATGCCTGCTCTGAAGAAAATCTGCTGTCATGGAGAGTTTCCTGTTAGCAAAGATGAAGCTAACAAGGCAGGCAAAAGCCATCTCTCCCAAGATGAAAGAAGTGTTTCGATCCCTGGAGTCTTGATACAGACACTTTTTTAAGGCAAATTGGTGGATTTAGCATCAGAAGGAACTTCCTTCTTCCCTATCTGCCAGCTTCTTGAAGAGAGTGTGTCTTATACTGAAAACACTTGATGTAAGACCCAAGATATAAGGGTAGAGTTCAGTTGTAAAACATTTATTTCCAAGAGGCATCTTGTCTTTGAAACTAGTCCTGCCACTGGCAGAATGACAGTTACAGACTCAGCTGGACAATGCCCCGATGCACTCTGCTCTGGGTCATTTGGTGTCTTTATCTGGTTTCCAATAAAAGCAATTGTAATGTTGCACCACTGCACTATATAAAAAGATCTTTTATAAACTATCCCCGCCAGCTGCATCAGATCTAACCTGATTATATGTTATATAATTATGTGCATTCTTTGGAAGATCTGACACTTCCTTTAGCTCTCAATTTGGCCAGAGAATCACAGCTGATCATGATACAATATTAACTCTGCAATTTGATCATACTAGGCCAAATTCCAGTGCAATGTTGAATAAATGAGAGAGTTGAATGTTAAGTGAGTCACTATGTAACATGGTGCAACCTGCATGAAGAAGTTGTGACTAAATTGTTCCAGTTGTGTGAAAGTAAGCAAAACCAGATCAAATGTAAATTCCAGAGGACAGAGAAGTGGCTACAATAGAAGGGGAGGAAAAAAGGAAGACTGTCCAAAAACCTCTCTCTTATGCCTTACTTTTATGCTGCACATGCTGCTATCAATTTATGCTCACCTAGAGCAACTAACCTTAATTAATACATCACCATCCCAGAGATTCTGTCTGGGCATTGGGATTACACAGAAAAGAATATCTTTCATTTGCCGAGGAATACAGCGATCAGGATGAATACTAATGATCATATAAGGAAAACTCCATAGCTTTCACAAGCAAAGTGCTGCAGTATTATCTCAGGTTCTGCACGGTTTTTTTCTGAAGAATATCATGTCAAGCTTGAAGTACTTCAGATATTGTCATCGTGGCATCCTGTGGGAAAAAGTTATTCTATATGGTGTAGTAATGCTATGGTGTAAACAACGAGAGGCAAGTTGCAAATACCACATGCAAGTTATATGATTTACATCTGTTTTGAGTCTAGCTGGTTCCCAGAAGCAAGAGCAAATTCATTATTATTAAGGTAATATATGCTCAGATGGATTTATTCTGTGGGATGATATTATTTTGTCTTCTCATTGCTTCTTTTTGATTTTGCAGGCAAGAAGAAAAGAAAAGAAAGTCCCAGTCTGGTGAAAGGCCCACGAAAGATGAACGCATTTTAAACCTGCAGAGGAAGATTGTAGAAAAAAAAATGGAGCGTAAAAAGCAAGCAGGACTCTTAAAGATTATCCCCCAGAAAACCAGCATCATGCCAAGCAAGGTCTGGTTATTACATAAGGAGAAAGGCTCTGCAATAGACCTGCTGTTCACAGACCTTTGCTCAACTGCCAGCACTGGCAAGGGGGGCAGAGGCAGATGGTGCCATGCATGACTGGCAATAGCAACACCCTGCTTCCTGCACAGGCACAGTTTCTCCAGCCTCGGCCTTGACCTCACCTTCTTGTCACACATTCTGCCACCACGGAGCAGGGCTCATCCATACTACACCTGCCTTCCCACTCCTGTTATCCCATCAAGACAGCATCTTACCATCTCTAACTCTCGTCTTTCCCAGCTTCCCATCACACACACCTCATCCCAAACTGGGATTACCCCCTCTCTCACCCGAGGTATATTACAGTTCATCATTCCCATGGTTTTGTGGAGTGTTGCAGCTGTGTTTAAGTCATTTTAAACTGGGCAAGCTGCTCAGGTTACCTTTCTGTTCATCACACACCTACTTTGATGTTGACAAGTTTCCCAATCATGTTAGAAAACAAACCGGGTTGTCAGCCAGCAGGATCAAATAGAAATTCAGTGTATCCTCTGAAGAGGAGACCACTGTATCATCTGCAGTCTGATCATCTGTGTGTCTTTCCTGCAGGATTCCTCGCAAGGGAACCATTGGAGAGAACTGGAAGAGATTCGGGAAAGACAGTTCAAACTCCTTCAACATGGCTTCATGGCCAGAGAAGCAGCTCAGAAAAGGGCTGCCTGTGTGGCTGCAAGAATTGGAACCACAACCTATATACTGCGCTCTGATATACAGTAAAATACACTTGGAACCAATTCAGGCCTGCTGCAAATCTCCCAATGTACCTATGTACTACAAGGTTGAGTTTTATTATTTATTTCACCTTTACAGTGTGATTAGAAAAATGTGGGTCTTACAAGCACAATAGAATAAAAATGGGTGTGTTTCTTTATAGTTTTATTATTTTATATTATTTTATAATGATATAATGAATAATTACGATATAATGATTTTTTTCTGGTATAATCAAAAGCTTTAAGAAACAGAAACCTTATCATCAGAAATCCTACAGCAGAATGGCAAATATCTGGGTAAGAATGTTGAGACCTGTATTTCTGTTATTGTATAGTATGCCATGGTTTGCTACACTCATCTTCCAAAAGGATAAAAATGAGGGCAAAACCCAAGGAACATTTTTTTACAAATGCATCTTTTCAGAAGGCATGGTCAGCCCAAGGTTCTAACACGTCTTCTTACATGACAGTAACTGTGTGTAAGAGGATCACCAGTTTCAACACTGGTTTTAGAGGATGAGGGAAAATCTGTTTAGAAGGTTTAGGTGATGTGATAGCCTCCAGGAGCCATTGTCTAGATTCAGTGACCCAGGCAGACCGTCTCTCTATTTGCAGATGTAAATCTCGTCAGTATTTAAACAGTGGAAGGAGAACATAACATTGTTTGATCTCTTTAGGGAGCTGCTTCCAGAAAAAGTCAAAATTCTGTTACTCACTTAGAAGATAATTTGCCCTCTATGACAATTGCTATACTGTGTAAAACAGCCTTTAAATCACAAGACTTATCCAGGCACAAAGCCAAGGAGGATATAAATCGGAATTAAAATCTACACAGCAGTAAGACTATGTAATGTATTTCCATTTTAACTCAATGCCAGTTACTAAGTGTTTAATTATGGCTATTGCAAATATTTAAATTGACGGAGACTGTCACTGACATTAGAGTCAGGCAGCTGCTTCTAATGCTCTCACAACATTGCATTTCTCACTTTTTATTGCAGGAAGTCTAATGGAATTCTTTTGTTGCCATCTAGCTGTGAAGATCATTTCCACAGCCCTTAAGCTGATAAAATGTGTTGTATTTTTCACTCGAAGTAAATGCTATAGTAGTCCACAGAAGCAATGCAAGTAGGGCTCATGCTCCATAACAAGAGTTAAAGAACACAGCTGAGTGAAAAGAAGAAATCATAGAAACAGAACTACAGAGAAAAGGGAACTATGACACCATGTTGAGTAAGGGATTGTAATATCTTTAAATGACAAACCCTTGGTGGCAGGGAGTTTGTCTTCCCTTGTGGTTGTTCAGCATTCTTTTGCACTGTATTCCAGAGCAACAAAGCTAAGTGGTGACTCTAACACCTTGATTTTCCAGAAGCCAGCAATTAACAGCTGACAGTCACAGTCTAGGATGTTGCATAGCCGAATAGTTCTTCTTAAACATTTTCAAGAGAATTTAAAAATGCAAGAAAAAAGCATTATTAAGCAGGTAGGGAAGTCATGTGGAAATTTCAACCCCCCATCATACTGCAGGCTTCTTCCCCTGTGATTTTGGACCAAGTTTTCAAAACTTTTACTGAATTGCAGTCAAGCTGATTCATAACTATTTCCTTATCCATATTTTCCCTGCTCTCAAATGAAAGGACTGAGGAATAAAGGAATCTCAATAATCCAGCTGTGGAATTTTTACCTTCAGAAGTCACAAATAGTCCTATTGCTACTTTAGGATCTGATGCATAAAGTCATCTTCAGATTCAATGTTTTGAGGAATATAAAAGAATGTATTTTGAAGAAAATAACAATACATTCCTATTTTTATATCTATATATTCATCATTTTTATATCAATGTAGGCTATTGATTTTTTCAGTGAAGGCAGGTCTTGCAACGGAATACACAGAATAGCATAAAAAATACCACCTTCCTTCTGACAAAAGCGTATAACTTGATGCTGGACACAGCAGATCCTATTCAGAACCACTGTGGCCCTGCCTTCTAGAGCACCTTCTCTAGTATTCCTGTTCTAGCAGTGTGGAGTACACAAAAACCTGAGGTGACCCAGTGCAGAGCCATCAAAGGCCTGGTGGGACTTGTTAGAATTGTAGTACAAAAGCAGCTGTAATGCCCTTGGAGCCAGGTGAGCTTTGGAGCCACACAGCTCTACTCAGACTGCTGCCTGGTGTCTGTGGCAGGGACCAGCCAGCACCTGGTTCTTCCACTCACAGGTAATTGAGCAAGCAATGCCTCTACCCTTGCTTCATGGAAACACAGGTGGATGAATAATTCATGATTCATTCATTTACACATTTGTTACACTATTTGCAGCAAAGAAGATGAGCCTAAGTGAACAAGGCTGACTCTGAAATCATCCATCAAAAAAACCCCAACAAACAACAGAGGTTTCACCTGTCTGATAGTGACAGACTCATTAAGAAATATTTCTAGTGCCAAAAGCTGCACATTCCAGAAATCTCTCATTCCAGTGTAAATGGTCAGACCACAGAAGCCTTCACATGCCACTATGGTGTAAGGAGGTGTAACAAAGCCCAGATGACCTGAGGAAGACCAGGGGGTTTTGCCCTGTGATAAGCACCAGGCACAGGGTGCTCACCTCTCACGTAGCATGGTCACTGCTGGCTAGCATTTGGCTCCCTCTTCCACATCAGCCCCAGTAACATGACTGCCAGGCCAGGTAATGCAACCTGCCCTGGAGAACATGATGTTGTCTCTCAGAGAGACAGACGTTTTCTTGTTTAAATGAAACCAAAGACAGTTATGATGGAATGGCAAGCAAAAAAAATACCCAGTACAAACCTCCAGCACTTTTCGCCCAGGGAAGAAGAGAAGTCACCAGGGAAAGCTACAAGCAGCCCAATTGCTGGGCACAGGGCAGTAAGAAACCAGGGAGGGACAGATGGTCCTTGCATTAAGGTAAATCAGCTGGGAAACCCCCTTTTTGATGGTGAAGTGAGTTGAAACACCTCTGCCATTGTTTATAATGAGTTACACACTGGATCTGGAGTAATTATGCCATGGGAAACAGGTAACGATCTCCCACGTTGATGGCTCTGATAAATTTTGCTCAGTGTGTTGGAAACACTGACAAAAATAATTTCTTCACAGAAGGGGTGATTAGACATTGGAATGGGCTGCCCAGGGTGGTGGAGGCACTGTGCCTGGAGGTGTTTAAGGACAGACTGGACGAGGCACTCAGTGCCATGGTCTCACTGACAAGGTGGTGCTCGGTCACAGGCTGGACTCGATGATCTCAGATGTCTTTTCCAACTTCATTGATTCGCTGTGAAACGTTTATAGAAGACTGGCGGGGGGGGAGGGGAAGGGGGTTGAGAGGCACCCCAGAGATCACACGCATCCTACCTCCAGGTACAACAGCACCACAGAACACAGCAAAAGCGCGGTCAGGGCCGAACTAACACGGGGACTGAGGAGAGCTTTCGAGGGACAGCGACGAGGGACAGCGGGCCCGACAGCCCCGCACAGGCCGCACGCCCGTGCGGAACTACAGCTCCCAGCACGCCCCGCGGCCGGGGGAGAGGCGGGGCCGCCGGTCAACCCTCTTTGATTGACGTGCGCGCCGACCACTCGGCAGGGTGCGGGGCCGCAGTTCCGCCAATGGCGGGTGGGAGGGGGCGGGCGCTGCCGTGCGCGCTGCCGGCCGGCGCTGAGGTGAGCGCGGCGGGCCGGGGGCTCGGCCGGTGGTATCGGGCCCGTCCCGCCCGGCAGAGAGCCCGGGCGGCAGGTGAGCGGGGGAACGGGAGCGGAAAGGGGGAGGGAAAAGGGAGAGGGGAAAGGGAAAGAGGAAGGGGAAGAGGAAGAGGAAGGGGAAGCAGGCGTTCCCGGCCGCGGCGGGGGGAGCGGGGGCGATGCGGCCGCTCCTGCCGGTGCGCGGGGCTGGGCCGGCGCCGCTCCGGCCTGGGGACGGTTCCCGAGCCCCTGCCCCGGGCGCGGCCCTGCCCGGGAGCCGCGTGGCAGGTCCGTTCTCCCCCCGGGCTCGGGGGGCTCCGGGGCCGTGAGCGGCGCTGCCCGGGGGGCGCGGGGCGGCCCCACCGCTCCTGCCTTGCCCTGCCCTGCCCTGCCCTGCCCGGCAGGGCCGAGGTGCGGGCGCGGCGGGGCTCCCACCGGCTCTGCCCTGTGTTCCTGGGAAGGTGGGTCTCCTCTCCCGCGGAGGAACCGCAGGGGCTCAGTGGATGTAGCTGCGTGAAGTTGCCGCTCTCCCTCCCCCCCAGTATGGTATGACAGGAGGAGGGGAGGGGAATGTTTCTCTTCTGCTTCAGCGCCCCCCCTCTGCACTTCGATTACAGAATGTGGAAAGACTCAACTGTTTTTGTTTTCCTTTCTTTGTATCTGATTTTTGGGACTGTTGAAAGTAAGCTGTGTCCTCTCAGAAAAACTTGTGCAGGTAAGAGCAATGAGGAGCTTTTCTTCTGGCCATTGTCCATCTTTCGTTGCTGTTTCTGAAACAGGACATCTGACCGATGGAAAGGTTTGGTCTGTTCTGTTCTGTGGGTGTTTTAATGTTTTGTTTTTCTTAGGCTGATCGTGAACATGCCATACTTGTCTATAGATGTAACTGGCTGCTTGGAGCAGGCAGACCAGTGTATCTCTGGTTGGCTGGTTATCTCTCATGTTACTCTGTTTATAGTGCCTCTCACCAAGCTTTTGTAGTGTGGGAGTGTTTGACCTAATTTGGGTAACACATAATAGATTCAACTTCTGTTTCCAACTGAAGTTGCTGTAGGGCATCTGAGAAAAGGGGAGCATCTTTACAGGTACTGGAAGTACAGGAATACGAAGCTTTGTAAGAGTAAAATATCAGATTAGTGTTCTCTGTGATAAAAAAAACATAAAAATTAAGACTAACACTTTGTGATTGGCACGTGCATCTTCTGGCCACAGAAATCTTGTTATGCAGCTGCATTTTTGATACTGTGTTTTCTGTTGCTAGTAGTACACAGAGACATTTTGGGTAGAAATAAGAAGCAAAGTCTTAAAGGCATGGGATAACACCTTTTGACATATTTAGTATATACTGGTTTTGTGGGCTGTGCCTTGCACATTTCCAACGTTTGGATTGACATAATTGCTTCCTTCAAGTAGGTACTTAAGTGTATTTGTTGTGTTTAGGATGTTTATGAACTAAAGTCTTGTTTGTGTTAGTCAGACACAGGGAAAATGTCTGTTTCTTGCTTAAGACAGTTTGCCTCAATTCATGCTAAGGACATGGGAGACCAAGACTTTGTTTTCAGAGTGGTGCAAAAAAGTTTTCAGTTTATGTTGTCTAGAAAATCAATTATCTTTGAATGGTAATTCAAACATGTTTAATTAGGTCAACTTGAACTCAGTGAAAGTGTTAATTTTCTTGTGGAGGAAAAAATGTAACAGGAGACTTAAATGAGGAATAGGGGTAGTTACCACTCCTGGTGTAAATATTCTTATTTTAAATGGCTTGACCCTTATTATTCTCAAGTATCTACCTGTACAGAGAAAGGTTGGTGGATATAGTCTTTAAAATGCTGTTTGTTGTGAGGTCAACACTGCTTAAGCCCTTGGGAGAGCTAAATGATAGGAACAATAACTGCATGTGCAGAGCTCTGCCTGTAAGGGGAAGGGGAGTGGCTTTTTCTGGTACTGTTATCATCCTGCAGTGGTGCAATAAAAAGTATGTAAAAGTTAAAAGTATTTATTGGCTTCCTGAGTTGATCTACTAAGTTTTCACATACAAAAGAAAAAAAAAGTCCAGCTGAAGCTGTGAGTTAATGAGGTCACTGGATGTGTAGGGGTTGAGAGGAAGGGGGTTGATGCATAACTCTTTGTATCAGCTCAGCCACTCTTGGGAGTCTTGGTGCTGGGTGGTTCCATGGTGGCTGCTGGAAGAGGAGTGTGTGGGCCTTATCATTTAACTTGTCCTCTCCAGTCCTGTGTAGCAGATTGTGTTATTAAACTGGGTGGTCCTGATGTTTTGAAAATTGTGAGGAATTCTTACTGGTGAGTGTATCTCTTAATGTGCCATGTGTTTGCCTCTGTCCCTGTGCATTACTAGACTTGACCTGTGGTGTATTTCCTGTGCATTGCTAGACTCGGTCTGTGGGGTACTTAAGGAGGCAAACTTTGCTTTATTTTCAGTATGCATTCTTACAGTTCAGGTAGTTAATGTTCAATAAAGTTTCCCAAGTAAGCCAAGAACATGTGGAAATCTGTAGTTCCACAGAAGAGGTTTGTTCTTGCAAAACAGAAATGTTGCTGGATCATGAGACCACTTCCGCAGTCTTAATAAATTCCAGTAGTCTGATTTGCTTTGTGAACATGACTCTCCTGAGATGGGTCATGTTGATACTGATGAGCCTGCCTATGGTGCTTTATTTTGAGGTGTTTTTACACTGATGAGCTTCCCTATGGGTATAATTCTCAACTTTCTTCTTCAAAGCAGCTCCTGAAGAAGTTAAAATTTGAGCCATTGCAGGTAGAACGTTTGTGCCTCATATGTACTCTCTGCATTAATTACAAAGACAGCCTACTGTTGGAAGATTCTGAAAATTAAACCATCTAAATAGCAATCATGCTCTCTGTCATTTAAGTAAAAAAGTGGTTCTGTCTGCTGTTGCCATTGAGGTCTGATACTAGATCCTCTGAGACATTTCATAGTAATCCTGTAAATAATCTGTTCCTTGATATCTTGTTAAAGAAGTAAGTGGATATTTAAAGTGAGTAGGGTGGTCTTAGCACAACATGTCTTCTATTGTGTATTACTTTGGTTTTCTTTTCACCATAACTTTGAAAATAGAAGTTTGTTTGTTGGTTGGCTTCATTTTTTCTTCTGTTTTAGCTCTTCTTTGGCATTTAAGCCACTTGTGGCCAAAGAGAATCTGTGCAACGTTTTTTGTTTGGAGTCATCCCAGGTGTTCCTCCCATGTTTTTAACCCTTTCTAAAGAGACTTTGTCAACAAACCATTGCACTGGGTTGTATTTAGTGTTAAATCCTAACAGCACCAGGTCTTGGAAAACCTTCTGGGTGTTTTATATCCAAACTCGTGCTGTCTGGTGAATACAATGAGCTTCTTTTTTATCAGTGCAGTTATGTCAGGTTGCTCCAAAAGGTTCTGTTTTAAAACAGTTCTAAGAACCTGTAATTAAAAATAAGCTTATATAAAGTTAATTTCTTTGTAATCCTCAGGTGTGTGTACCAACTAACATTTCACAGCTTTTTAAGATCCCAAATATTTTTTCCAATTCCATATCTGAGGAGAATCAAGGAAAACATCCTTGACTTTCTTGATGAAATAAAACTTGTAGAAGAATCTAATGTCCTAACTTCCTAATGTACCTCATGGGTTGCTGTCTATTGTTTCTTTTGCTGTGTGCAGAAAACTACTTTGCCCAAGTTATTTTTCATTTCATTTGTACCTGGTTGATGAAGATGGTAGCTTGTCTTTCAGAAATTAGTTTGAAACAGCACATGTGCCAGGCTTAGGGATGATTCTCTCCCTTGCCCCCATCCCTCATCCCCTGTGCTGTGTCCTCCTCCTTCACCTCCTTCTTCCCTTTGTCTCCTAAAACCTCCAAACCGGTGAATAATAATTGTGTGGAACTAGGAACTCCTATAGCACAAAGAAAATGTGCTCACAGAGCAGTCCTGCTGTTCTTTTGGGTTTGGGTTTTTTTTGTATGAGTGCATCATTAGGCATGGTCTTGTTTTAAAAGTTCTTGTCCTCTACCCGAGGAACTCAGTAGAGTGAGTCCAATAGGCTCTTTGCAAGAATGTTGGTAAGGCTGGCAGAAAAGCTTTCCTTCTTAACAAGTGAAATGAAATCTAGACCTTAAGAACAGTGTGAAGTGTTCAGAGAGAGCTCACACTACCTGGACACAGAATGTTGTGGAAAGGAATGCGTAGGTGAGTCCTGCATTAGGAGAGCAAGAGACAAAGTCAGTTCCCAGCTTTCTCTGAGCCTCAGTCTTCAGGTGAGACAGAAAAACTGTACATGTCAGTTTAGATTCCTAAAAGGAACTGGTTACTGAATAGGTTCATAGTAGGAGGGGATGTTACACATAACAGTTCTGAAAATGAGATCTACTGTGATCAGAATCTGCCTGTGGACTCACTGAGCATTAAGTCTGGCATGTAGTAAATGATTCAGCTGGGGGGAGAGGGGGAAGACAATGTTGACTTTAATTGTGGCTTTTGTGCCAGTTTTAAAATGAAAAAAATGTGAGAAAATTGCTGAGCGGTGTGTTGCTTAAAACTATACATTAATGTATCTCTGGGCTTAGTAATAAGTAACAAATTTAGTGTAAGCGTTTTTCTCAAGCATGTTTTGTTTTAAAATATTACAGTTCAGTGTTAATGGGTCTCTTAAGAAAGTGATTTATGAAATAGAGAGAGTAAGTTGAAGATGAAAAAGATCAGTCAGATTTCCTTTAATTCAAGGTTAGGATTGACTACTGGTGCTGTTCCATCCCATTATCCCACTGCATGGTCTCTGTTTCCTCATCTGTGAGTAGGCTAACACCATGTGTGCTGGTCTTTGCAGTGAAAATCAAAGTCAGCTCAGGAAGACAATTCAGCAATTCTTGTTTAACATAATTGGTTTTTTCCTAGCCCCTCCACTGTCTCCCCTCACGCCCTCCCCCAGCTCCTCCTTGTGTGTTGGGTCTGTGGTAACTGTACCACAGCTGAGCTCTGAGATGGAACCTTCAGTACCCTGGCAGTTACTCAGAGCTGCCTTTATGCTTTTCACCTCTCCCCCTTGGCAGGTAGCTGGGCACACACACCTGCAGGCACCAGAGCAGCTACGGTGAGCACATGTTCTCCTGCACATCAGCAAGTATTTTGAAACTGAAATTTCTCTGCTCCACTTGCTTTAGATTCCTCTCAAGCTCTTTGGCTCCCAGCTGCTGGAATCTGAAGGTGGGTTGGAGAAGAGAACTGCTCATCTGGAGTTTTTGGTTCTCTGAAGATGGCTGCTTATGACACAATTCCCAGTGATTGCTGCCCACGGACATTGCCTCGAGAGTCAATCAGTTGCTTTTCAGTTCAGTGTCATTGGGATTCCTTAGTATTCTTCTAGTTTGCTGTCAAATTCACTTATTCTGGTGTTTAGTTAATGGTTAAGAATGACTGAGGCTTCAGGCTCAGCTGCAGGTGTCTGAGGCTCAAATACTGAACTCTGGGACTTCCCTCTGGCTTTGGGCAGAAGCTGGTGACTCAGGAATGGGAGTCTTGGAGTAGGAGTATTGAAGAGAACAAGCACTGCAGATAGGTAATCTCTCTTCTCTTTGATAGGTTTGGAAGAACATCGTTCTCTGACCCTGAAAAATCTGGACTTTTTGTCAGTGACCTACTTAAAGGAATCCAAGGAATTTATAGTTTTAGCTTCCTTGCCATTACTTTTTTGTTGTGTGTACCTCTTGATCGGTGGTTTTAGATCAAGAAACACTATGAGCACAGTAAGTATTTCACTACTCAATGCAATCCTGATTCTTGAAATATGTTTTCCATCGTACTTCTGAAAATTATTTTAAGAGTTTGTAGTTAATACACAGGAACATAAGTATATTAAATCTTCATGTAACTTTATGTTCAGTGATAATGAAGATTTTGAATCTCTCTAGGTTTTAGCAATAGTTCAGAAATGCTTACAATGTGAGCAAAAACCTGATAAATTGTGAACTAGTCTTCTCATTTCCAAACCACCATGATAGGCTTTTTCTTGGTGAGGCAACTGGTAAGAGATCTGGGGTGATGTCTTTTCATTGATGCCATGCATTCAGGTAGGAATAACTCATACCACCATTCAATGAATGCTACAACCATTCCAGGAGTGTTGTCTGTATCCTTGTGTGCTTTCGTTGGTGTTGCAAAATCGAGGGCCACGTTAATATTACTCACACAGAAAATGCTAAGTCTTTGTTCTCTCTTAGACTCAACGAAAGCGCCGTGGAGGAGCAGTTAATTCTAGGCAAGCTCGAAAAAGAAACAGGCTCACGGCTTCTACTGCAGAAATGGCCTCAGAAGCAGAGCCAATTGAACTTGAAGAAAGCGGTAAGCTTTCTTTTGAACTTGGTAAGAACAGAAACTGCTTCTGGAGGCTTGGTGTTCAACTGAATGTGTGTTTTAGCCTAGAAAATGTTAGTTTCTAGGCCCTTTACTGTAGAGGAAGGGAAACCTAGAATGGAAGCACCTAGTATGGCATCTTGAAATAACAAGCCTACTGACAGCTGGTTTTATTTAGTACTGGGCTACAATACATTTACCACTAGTGATAGGTGAGTTGCATAGGGAAGGTCCTCAAAAGCTGCTCAAACATCTGGAAGTCTACTCTGATGAGCTGGGAGTCGCTGCAGCTGCCACTACAGAGAGTGGCAAACTAAGTTTGGGAACTCCTAGGTTTGAAAAAGATAAGAAAAGCTCTGTCATTAGTTGTATCCTATTTAAAGGGAACATGTGCAGCACGGTACTTTAAAGTTATTATTTTTTTTCTGTGTGATGAACATTCTGCTGTGTCAGATGAATTGTCTGTTGCTGTGTGCCTCCCACAAGCTGTATTATCCAACAGAACTGTGTGAGGAGCTCAGCTGCTGTTCCCCTTGCGTTGCAGCTTGCAGAAGACAGGGCAGGTAATGCTCTGTGTGGACTGCTGAGGGCAAAACTTGAGTGAAATGTTGGACACATTCTTAAAGATAAAATGGACAGAACGTGGTTGAATCTTGGCCTGTGGTACAGTGGCAGGCAATTTTACTCCGCTGCAATCTCTGATCTTGATTCTAACATTCTGTTTTTCAGCTGGTGAAGAAGTAGTAGATCTCACATGTGAATCTTCAGATCCTGTGGTCGTTGATCTAACTCACAATGATGCCGTTGTGGTAAGCAGTGAACAACACACTTGTCTAAATCTTGTAGTCAAATGAGTTTTCTCTTGTGCTCCCTCATAGAATCTGACTTTAAGTTCAAAATTGACTTGTCAGTGCATGGAAGCCCTGTGTTACAGATAACACAGAAGCTGCTCTGGAGGTACACTTGCAGGTAGTGATAGGATAATATAAAATACCTTTTTGCTCCAGAACCTGACGTGAATATATATCAGTCATGAGTAGTGTAACATAAAGAGATAGTTGAAGCTTTTCTAGATATAGCAAAGATAGAATCATAGAATTGTTCAGGTTGAAAAAACCTCTAAGATGATTGAGTCCAACCATTCACCCAGCACCACCAAGTCCACAACTAAACCATGTCCCTAAGCATGACATCTAGATGTCTTTGAAATACTTCCAGGGATGGGGACTCAAGCACTGTCCTAGGCAGCCTCTTCCAGTGCTTGCCAACCCTCTTGGTGAAGAATTTTTTCAAATATCCCTAGTGATTTAAAGAAAAAGCTAAGGGAGAGAAGAGTAAGTCTTTGACTTATTCTTATATGAAGTGTTTAGCTGCTGTATTGGTTTGAGATACTCCTGTCAGAGATGCCAAGCACAACTTTAGCTGACTGGGTGCAAACCAGTTGATCTCATTACTCCAACAAGTCTTAAAAAAATTTACTTTTTTTTTCCCTTTAGTGCTGTTTTGAAAGCTTTGATTCAGCCAGCAGTGTGGTTTATCCTCTCAGGTTTGGGATGCCACTGCTGCTACGCAAATCAGAAACAAGCAGCAGGAATAGCATGGGGGTACTTCTTGCTTGGGGTTGTTCCTTAGCCTTTGCAAAGGAAAGGCCTCAAACTTTACAATTGCACTGCCCCTGCTCCAGTTCCACCAAAGACAACAGTGGGTTGGGGATTATTTTTTTTCCCTTCAGCAGCTGCTCTCATATGAAGCATTTATGGATATCACTGCTGAATCAGCCTGTTTGGGGAGAAAGAGGGAAAGAACCACCTCCAGCCTGAAACCATAAATCATGGAACTGAAGTGGGGGAGCAGGGAGGAAGGGGCTCAGATGGTTCATAAACTGCCTTTGTTTCTACCCCATTGGAGCAGTGGGAGCAGAACCTTCAGCATCCACTTGGTTGTTTAGAGAGCAGCAGTTAATATAATACTTTTAACATTCTTAGTCAAAACAAGAGCAATAGCCTACCATTCTTAGCTTGTTTTGTTGTAACTGCTTTGCTTAACTGGTGTTTATATGTAATACCAGGGGTGCACAACAAAGTCTAATTGTGTTTTGTTTTCTCTTCTTTCCCATGTGTATTGATGCAAGATTGTTGAAGGTGAGTGGACGTTTTAAAATTGGTAATGGAATTGTCTTAAATGGACTTACTATTTTGTTTGCCTTTTCCAATGAGCTTGAGCAGCATGAATTGAAAATGTGTTTAGGAAAAGGCAAAGGATATTGATAAAGCATCTAGATGGTGTCTTAAGAGAATGAATCCAGTCTGTGTTTCATAGTCACTATCAGAGCTTGTAGAAAGTACCTGAAATAAAATACATCAAAGCTGTTTTAATTGCTTCTTACTTTACAAAAATAGAATTTCTTTAAGCCCCAAGTTGACCATAATTTTAATTAGCACTGGAATATCAGTGAAAAAAAAAGAAAATGTCAAAAGATTTGATTAACCTGTATTGCAGTGAAGGAGCTTAAGGAGAAAGTGATTTGTGGTCATAGTATTCAGTTTCATTATCTACTCTAACATGCTTTAAATTTTGTAGAGACTAGTATTAACAAGTGTTAATTAACAAGTTGGGTTTTTTATTACTTTAGATATTAAAATAGCTACAGGTCTAAAGAAGTTACTCCTTTATATCTTTCAGCCTTGTTCTGATTATATTATTGGACATGCTGACAATTAGTATGTTGTCAGCTGCTTACCTAGAATGTAATCTGTTCTGTGCTCTAAATGAAGCAAGAGCAAGTGAAAAGTACCGACACTAAAAGCTGTAGCTGAACACTTAGGCAGGAAGGGACTTTTATTTTGTGACTCTTTATGTCATTTTAATTGATTAGTGCTTGATTATTTTTACATGAGCACTGAAGTTGCAGAGATAATTGACTTCAGTCTTCTCCCTTCCCTATCACACAGCAACTGTTGCAGTTCCTCACCATAGGATTGTAGCAGTTTCTGTCAGCAGGCACTGGGAGGGGTATCTTCTTTTTACAGGGGAAATTGATTCACAGGTGGTGTAATTACATGAAACATATGACACTGAGAATCTTTAAGGTCGTGTTTTAGCTGTTTGTAGGGGGAGGAGTGCAAATGTTTTCTGTCAGTATGTAGCAAAATATTCACAATATTTGGACGTGTTCAGCCTTAATATTTAGGAAACTGGTTTGTTTAAGGTTGCTTTTAACCCAACTGAGTATGGTCTATTTAAAATAGGAACCCTTACAGACTATTTCTAATCTTGCATTTCAAGGATAGTTCCAGATAGAGAGAGATAATAGTATAGCTAACTTAAAAAATTAAATTGCAGAGAATCAAAGACAAAGGAGAAATCTTAGACTAAGAAGCCAGCGACAGTCGGACAGCTGTGTACTGAGCAGCGATGATGAAGATGAAACAAGAGATAATGATGTGTATGTAACTGAAAAAGTGTCTCGAGAACTGGGACCACTGGAAGAGGAAACTGAAAGCACTAAGTACGTATGCCTCATGACCTGCCAAACATTGAGTTGTGCTTCTTTTGATACAGACAGCACTGACTTGTATGGCCATCACCTGACTTGTCTTTGAAGCCTTCACTTAGTTCCCTCTTTCAATGAGTACAACATCCCATGTTGCATGATGATCAAATGATACCATTTCCACTTCAGGATGAAAAGCCAGCCCAAGACAGATGTACAGCTTTGTATACAGCCTTAAAGATGAGTGTGGGGGTATGGCAAGGAAGGGGGATTAGTCACAGGCCACAGCTCACAATGTATTGCGTTTGCTTTTTATACAAAGCTCTAGTAGTTATTTTAGATATGGAAATACTTTTGTTGGTGTTGATGAGGTTTGATATCACAAGGCTGGCAGGCAGCAGCCTGGCAAATTCCAGTAAAAATGCTTCTGCATTCCCTGCTTGTTTTGCACACTGTGCCACTTGCTGCCTTTCTCCAAGCAGCAGCCATCCTCCCCAGGGTATCCTTGCAAGGCCATTGTGGAGGTTGTGCTCTTATGGCCAGTTCTTGTTCCGTCCCATGGATGTTATGGAGCCCTGGTATGTCTGCATGTGAGATAGGGATCTTGCTGTTTCAGTCAGTAAAGACCCCATTATGCAGAGAAACAGTAAAGTCCTGCTGTAATGTGTTAGACTAATTAAGAGAACTTGGGTTTTCTGTGACTAGGGAAGACAAAGGACATAAGAATTGTTGTATAAACTTTTTTTAAAGTGGTTCTTTGGAGGGGGATTTAATGAAGCTGGTGTGCTTTGAACATTTTGGATTACTGAAAGGCAATGTGAGAGAGAACTTGAGTATGGAACTTCTGGGTGTCAGATCATAAATATGCCATTGAAAGGGCCTGTACTATTCTAACTCATAGTGCATTTTGACAGTGGATTTATAGATGTTTAAATTTCGGTTGTTAAGTATATCAGAGAACAAATCCCACTAATTGGATAATATGAGAAATATTAGTTTGTTTCTTCAGCCTCAGGCTTCTCTGTTAAAGACTGTGCCTTCCTGCTCTGTGTAGGTGAGGCTGAAAGAATTCACTGCTGCAGTATTTAACATTGACAAAAGGGTCCTCCCTGGTGCTGGAGATTGCCAGAGCCATCTGTAGTGTTGGACTCCTCTTCCTTCTAAGAAGATTATCATTAATTATGATTTGTTACTGAGGTGCTATTATAGCTGCTGCCTAAAGAATCTGAGGAGTGAAAATGGGAGAATTAGTGGAGTTAAATTTTGTAGGTTAAACAAGGGGTAGATGTTAGTAGGGTTCCCTGCTTGAATTTAAGCTATCTTATGCTTTCTATTCCTCTATGATTAATAAATTACAAACTGTGATTTAGCATGAGCCGTGACATAAAGCCAAGTGTTTAAGGTAGAGGTCTGAAAGTTTAAAATAGAGATTGGTTTCAAAAGAAAAGCAGCAGGAAGCTCTTTCTAATAGAGAATAATATTTAGCAGTTGGGCTAGGACATGTTCCTTAGGCAGCTGAGCTGTATCCCTTTGGCAGGTGTGTGTGCAATAGAGCTGTCCTGGAGGCTGAAGGCAGCACAGGGGCATCTGTAAGCACAGCTGGGTAACAGCCACCAAGTGGGTCTTTCCTTCTTGAAAGTGGAAATTTGTTTTTTGGTATCTCCTAATGTTCGTGTGTTCCTGCCCTCCATTTTATACGAAGTTCTTGGAATGTGTGTGTTGCTAAATTAGAACAGGGGATATTTGAATTTCTGACAGCCTCTTCCCTTTCTAGTATGACTTGTTTCCAAGGCACAGGTAGATGCTTTTGTTACAGAGCTGTTACTGATGTTGTTGATGGCCGTACCTATGGTGCCCAGTGCTAGAGACTGCTGTCACTTCTAGTGCTAGAGTAGGGTGACTGACTGCATCTTCCCCCTAGTGAAAACCTTTCCCTTAGAACAAGGAGACCCAAACTCCTTATTACATGCCACAAACTGAGGGAGCTAAAGATACATGGGGATCTTCAAAAGAAATGTGTCATGGCTGGTCTGCGCTCGGATGGTGACGGGACATTTTGTGTGTCGGGAGCGCCCGACATGCAGTGAGATTAATGGCTGCATGTTCTTTCTTGTTCTGTTCTCTCTGCCACAAGGCCGTCTGGTACTGTTAGCTGTCCCATTTGCATGGATGTCTACTCAGAGGTAAGAGTCCACATCCTTTCTGTCTTTGTGGGAGGGAGAATGGGGCAGAGGGGGAGCTGCACAACTCAGTTGGCCTGTTTGGGATGTTGCAGAGATCTGACTTGAAGCACAGAGCTTGTTTTGAAGCTCATACTAACTTGTCACTCCAAGTCACTTCTTGGTGGCTTGGATAGAGGGAGAAATTTTTGCCAGGATGACACTGAAAGATCTTTCAGTTCCTTATTAATCTAAGAGTAAAAGACAATTCCAGATATCCAGGTCCTGTTTGCCTGGTGGCAGGAGACCAGCAAAGTTGAATTCTTTACTTCCAGTGCCTCTTGTGGTTTCCTTTCTTCCAGATTGTGCAAAGTGGACGACTGATTGTGTCAACAAAATGTGGCCATGTCTTCTGCAGTCAGTGCCTCCGTGATTCCCTTAGGAATGCCAACTCTTGCCCAACCTGCAGGAAGAAACTCACTCACAGACAATATCATCCCATTTATATATGAGTACTTTTACTTCTCAGGACAGTCTCAATGGATTTTGGGGGAAAATGTCATGTTTTCAGTGCTTTGAAGATTTAAAGAGCAACAGGTTGTGCACAAATCCAAATAAAATTGTTTTGGTTTTTTTTTTGGAGAACGACTTGTATGTATCTAGACAACTTTTTTTTACGGTCCAAGCTGCTTCTTTTTATGTTCCTTGTTATAATGTTTTATCAATGACTGTCTATAAACTAGACCAGCAGCCTAGACCAGGAAGGAAGCAGTTAATCAATTTTCTTCTACTTTTTCTAATGCTAAAATGAGGGGGCCTGAATATTTTGTTTTTTCTTACTCTATAAATTATTCCCACCATCATATATAGATATGAAAGTTTCCTTTTCAGAAGACAGTTTAGCAATTTACCATTTAATTACACTTTTGTTTTTGTCCTGTAAGAAGTTCATGACTCTTACTTTCCTGCATGTCATCTTTGCCCAAGTAGAGTAAGTTCTGTACTGATGGCTTGTGTTTTCATAAACAAGGCTTAAATTGACAATGAAGGTTATGCAATAAAATAACCTGCTGTTGACCAGCAGTCAGGTGTTTTGAGCAGAAGGCTTGAACATGTAGATGTTTTTATGAACTCCATGAGATCTAAAGTACGTAGAAACGTTGCAACATGTACAATGTGAAAATACTTCTTTGATTGTTTTAACTGCCAAGAATTCCTGTATTTGAATCCAAACACTGAATTTATTTTCTAACATGTTGAGGTGGTCTCTTGGGTTTACTGCTGTGCTGTAACACTCTCTCCTAATAACTAATGAGAATATAGACTTCTCTAGGCTTCCTAGTGATGAATAAGAAGCAAATTGTATGCTGCCCTCTTGTCAGGTGAATACCAAACTACCTACAGATCTTCTTACTGTGTCAGCTGTTCCCTGTTTAATGCTTTGAGTGTGTTTGCTTTGCTGTTCTCTCTGGTTGTTACACTGATACCTGACTGGTTGTAGCCTGGTGCATAGGATTGAAAATTAAATAACCATACTGCCTTGGATTTAGGAAGTGGAGGCTTTAGAAGGTGTTTGGTAGCAATATTAACTTGACAACTTTTTGAGAGACAAATTTAATCACTCTTTGCCCTGAGGGTTGCCCAGCTTTCTTTAAATGTGTATTTTTAAAAAAAAGAGAAGATGGGTATTTGTCCTAGGAGAGAGAATTCCTCTATTTCAGAAGGCAGGAATACACCAGTTTATGTACTGTTATCAAGTCACTTTTTTTTCACCTCAGAACTGAGTTCTAAATGCTTCAAGTCTGTTACTAAATGTGCAAGCTGATGTAGAATCCTAGAAGAGCCGATACAAACAGGTTTATGTAGACAAGATGATTAAAATCAATGTTTTATGATCCACATTTGCAGTAGGCATATCTATGAAAAAGTCCAGAATTAACCTTGGACACCTTTTGGCAGTTGGTTGATTATGGAAACCATTATAAGAACCATTCTGTGCCCTGGTGCAGCACAACTGTAGGATGTGCCTTTGCTAACCTGTCCTAGGGATCTGTTGTAGGAAGTCTTTAATTACAGCAGCTCTGTTTCAAGATCTTTCTTGAAGTTTACAACCCAAAGTAAAGTTGATTTTTTTTAATTTTTTTTTTTAAATGAGGATGTTTCTGGATATAGTAATACAGAGTTTTGTTCTGTAAAGGCTGTCTGAAGAAATGCAGTACCTTCCCCACCCTGGTTTGGAATAGCTTTGGTTCAGCACTGTTAGCAGGAATATGCAGTTTCTGCATTGTGGCACTACGGTGACTCCTACAAAGTTACACACATTAAGTTCCTGTGTGCTCCCACTGGTAATATAAACTACAGGCAAGGACTACAGCTGTCTTAGGGTGGTGTGGTGACAGTGACGGCTGCATTTGTGTCCCAAAAAGCAGATAGTCAATGCTTAAAGCATTAACTCTGCGAAGAGAAAAAACCCAACATTAAAACAGTCAAGACCCTTAAGGGTCACAGGAACAGCTTTCCCCAAGTAGCTTAAGAAACAAATAATACTAAATTAGGGCCAGTTTTCCTTGGGTGACTGCTCCATGAGAAAAACGATCAAAAGAAGATTTAAGGGATTACTTCTAGGGATGAGGGTCAGTTCCTTAACCATGCATCTTTCACAGTGTACTAGCCATAGCCTAAATGACTTTGCACAACTCCCTCCATGTAAATAACACTTTACAGTTAGTGTCTCCATAAATAGATTTAATTGAAATTTAGATATCATAAACTATAAAATAACAAGACAAAACATTTTTAGCTTTTGTGTACCCTGTGAAGTGCCACAAATTTTGTGCATCTCAAAATGGATATTATGCCTCAGTAAATGGAAAAAAAATAGGAAATTCATTACATGCTTTCTTTTTAAGGGGAAAAAAGAAAAAAGTCTGAATATACTTGAGTTCCAGTAATGTTTGGCATTGGCAAGAACTCATAGATACAGGAAAAAACTCTTTATAATATGTAGATGTCTGTCTTGCTGTATATAGTTCAATTTTTCCTGTATTTAATTGTATTCGAGTCTGTCTGCCCATCTGTGTGGGACTCTGCTGGTAAGCAAAGGGTTTTTTTAACAGGTGGAAATAAAACTCTTGGTTTGACCAATCATAA